AAGTTATTCGTTTCGTAAACGAGTGGACTCGAATCGTAGATACATGTGAAATTAATCAAAATAAATATATAATATGTTTTGTTTATATATCGATTATACACGATTTATACTGGACAAAAATTTGATATGACACGAATCAATAAATAAATTGAATATAAATAAAATATTTTTTAACAAAAATCCACTAAAACTCGAATATATGTCACCTGACACAATTAAAAAACCCTTGTATAAACACAAGAAAAAGATTTATGGCATGAAACACAACATCATGGACCTCTAATGTACTCTTCCTGATCCAAAGGGCTCAACAAGACAAAAAAGACATGCTTTGTCTAAGGCCATGCTTGTTCAAATTTCAATCCAAGCCAAGCATGGAAAATGACATAACATTACCAATATCGCTCTGCACATGAAGCCTCTGTTTGGTAGGAAGGGAAAATGGAGAACTTGAACGGTGTGAATTCATTTACTATTATACCCTTCAAAACTTACATATCCATGGTATGGTTAGCCCTTTCAGTCTAAAATTAGCCACGTGGACGTTGCTTTGTTCACTTTGTGAGTTTTTACTAGACACATCTTTGTTTTGTTTTTTTCTTATTTTTTTTCCATACATTGGATATATTCCTCCACATTTGATGCAATAAAGATAATTTTACATTTTTTAATTTGTGAAGTGTATTCTTTTTTTTTTTTTTAATTTATATCGTTGGAATTGATTCTATGTGTATGAAACCTTATAAATATTTTTGTAATTAAAAAATATATAACAAAGGAATATTTTTGTATTAAAAATTAAATATTTTTTTTAATTTATATCGTTTGTAGTTAACATTTAAGGATACTAGCGATACCCAATAACTGAAGTCTCTGTATACTAAGTTATGATATTATGCGTATATTAGAGTGTGTATATAATAAGTGTCTGTGTGTATATAATGAGTGTGTGTTGTGCAATGTTTGTGTTGAGTTTGTAAAATTGAGGAGAGGGGAGTGTGTGAAATTTTGGGGAGAAAATATACTTTCTATAAGTTCAAAAACTTAGCTATCTTATCATATACTAGGGTAACTTGTGTCTTAGTCACGATGCAATTCAAAAAAAAAAGTGTGGCTTCTCTGACAATGGAGTGACGGGTGAGGTGAGGGAGGATGAGATAGATTTAGGGGGAAAAATGTGTTGGGTATAAAATTTCAAATAACTAGCTGATTTATTATATAAATATTATGGTAAAATAAGCCAATAATATTTTTTGTTTCGTTCCTTCTCTTTACCAAACATAACATTAGAACATCCGATCATCCTATTTTCTATCCCAACAACCAAGCAAAAAAAAGTGAGAAATTTTTTTCTTTTCCTAATAGATGGAAAGTCAATTCCTCCCACTTTTTCTTTCTTCTCTTTTTTTCATCTATTCTATCAAACGTACTAAAAAGGAGAAAAAAATTGTTAGCATAAAGGTATAAAGAGAATATAATGTATATCAAATTTTAAGAATAAACGATTAAGTTCTTAATAATCATTGAGGTGTTGTGTGATCATAACATGTGAAACGATAAATACTTTTAGAAGAGTGACTTTGTGTTAATATTCAATGCAAGATAAGCACATCACTCGTTTTTTTGGCTGGGAAATTGAATTCTATTCTAGTCCAATGTCCAATCACTCTAGTGCCAAGAAAAAAAAAATTAGTAGAACCACGCAATACACACTACTTGTTGACTTCTTACTAGAGAATAAAGAAAGAAGAACCTCGTGTCATAATCCATTGCCACTTTGGTTCACATCAATGAACATAGATCCAATAACATACCAAGTGGAGCATAACACCATTTGACACACAAATACTAAAAAATTACTTTTGCCTTAGATTTTGTTTCCATTATATACGGAAAAGTGCAACCTAAATAAAAATAAAAATAAAAAAGAAGAAATGTAATGAACACCAAACAAGTGCGTCAAATCATTTGTCATCGTTGGATCAGTGAGTCGTATCATTAATTCAACAATTACAAATAATTCGGTATATATAATTTTATCCAAAAAAGAATGTGAAGATAGCTGCAATTAGGGATGACAGTAGACCAAAGCAGGGGCGGGGTGTAGTCTCCATTCCCATACCCGCTTAAAAATTTTTTGTCCATTCTCGGTCTACCCCTTTTAACGGATATAATTTTTATTCTCATTCTCGTCTGCGACTAAATTTGTAATCCCCGCCCCCCCGTTCTGTCCCCCGCCTTCACCTCTGCCCCCATCCTCGTCTATTTTACCCGTCCAAGCCCAAGCTAACATAATTCTAAATTCTAAATAAATCTAGCATTCTAAATAATCTAACATAATTATAGAATATCATAACATAATTAAAAATTTATCATTTACCACATAATATAATTAAAACTTTGTCTACAACTTAATCTAACATAATATAATTAAAAGTTTGTCTTCCTCATAAATCTAACACAATATCATGCAACACAACATAATGTAACATAACATAATCCAACATAAAAAAATATAGAAACACGAAGATCTACATTTTTACAAGTCAAAACCAACAAAACAAGATCAAAAAATAAAATAATTTTTCAAAAAAAAAATCATTCAATAATATATCGATTTATATTCACAGCAATATGTATATATAAATAATAATAATAATTACAGGTAAAGTGGGGCAGGACAAGGGTAAGTGTCAGTCTATTCCCGCTTTCATTCTCGCACGGGTTTATACGAATATCCTTGTATTCGTCTACCGTCCAATACGTATGGGTCATCTCCAATCCAAACGAGATAAATTTAGATAAATACTCATTTTTACCTGATCTACTGCCATCTCTAGTTGTATTCTTGTAGTCAAAAAGCACCCTGAACGAAAGTGGGATAAATTTACGATTATTCAAAGGTTTTTTTTTTTGTATCACACTATAAATTATTAATTTTTGGGATAAATTTATACATTTTTTAAGAATAAAACAACAATTTTTTAAGATTGTTAAAGATCAATAATAATATTTCTAGAATTCTTAGAAGTGGTTCAATAGTTGAGCTTGTTATTTGATAATTCAAAGATTTCAGGTTTAATTATTTCACACCCTCTCAAGATTAACTAATTTTTGTCCTTTTTAAGGTGCATGCTTTAATCAAATTCAAGCCACAATTGACTAGTTACTAAGTTCAAAAAAATAATCGACGCAAACTTATTGATGGGACTTTTCTGAAATACCCTATGATGAAGACACGTGTCCTCGATTTTACTAAAACGCTGTTGCTAAGATCAAGCACCATCGGCGCACGAATGTCCTCGCCCCCGAGGTACCGTCATATAGGATCATACATTCAGTATATTTTACAACCGACACGTGGCCTCGGTCTGATATGTACCTCGGTCGGCATACCTCCCTCAGTCCCCGAGATGAGCCTTTCCTCGGTGCCGAGAGGTACCCCCTCCTGGACGCTTCCTCTATTCCAAGATAAGCTATTGACGTACAGGTCATTAGCGTAGGCTAGTCTAGGCTATTCATCATGACCTCGTCTTACACAAGTAATGTCAGAACGTACTGGAATACAGAGGTCACAGCCAATAGGGGATGGACGCGTGGCATATGATATCACATCAAAAACAGACAAACCGCATGCCGTTTGCTGACACGCGACTTGGGAAAGCAAACAATTAATTGCACCATTCCCTTGATGAGACCGCATTCAATGCGGTAAGGCTCGGAAATGAAAGGCAATAAATGCTCCTATTACAGAGCATTTATTGCATCCTCCCCGAGAGGAGCACATTGTACCGTCGGCATCCCGATGATCCAGCATTGATTGCTCGGGACCCCGAGCAGTTAATTAGAGAAGACATTCCTCATCAGAATCAATGCACACGCTACCTGTGCCTAATGATCACCTACTGACCACACTGACAGCAATCATGAGCTTTTAAGGTATAAATACTCCTTGCAAAAGGCAAAGCGGGTATGCAACAACAAACTCTCTACTACAATACACACTCAGTGTTTTCTCCTTCCTCTCTCTCTCTCTCAAAGACTGACTAGATCGTCGGAGGGGATACGCCGGAAAATACTCCGGCGCCCTTCTAACTTGTTCTTCTTTGTTCCAGGAACCTCTTTCAGCCTTACAGGATCGTTCTTCCTTTCCCAGGGTCTCCCGTTGTCGTTCCAGGTTACCACCGTACCTTGCAGGCTGTCCCAAACAGCGTGTTTGGTCACTCAACCAGCTCACTCGAAGTTCACCAAGGGAGAGATCTGTTCTCGTTTTTTATATTGTGCAGGATCTTGCACGCACACTTATCTTATATTAAAAAAAATCAAAACAATTCATTGTCGATCATAATTTGAAAGTTTATAACTCAAATTCCAAAGAGTTACAATGTGATCCCAATCCCACGAAAGTGATACTGTCAATTCCCCAAAAAAGAAAAAAAAAAAGAAAAAAGGACAAAAGAAGAAGAGAAAGTGATGTTGACTTTTCCCAAAAAGATAGATATACATTATCATGTCTCTTCTATCCGTTTTGTGATTTCCGATGACGTGGCCCAATAGCAAGAGGCCTTCCAATTCTAATGGTTCAACTAAGCTCTGGCTCGAAACATACGACAAAGGAAAATTTTCATTTTGACTCCTAAAAGATACAAAAAATTTTAATTTATCCCTGAATGATATTTTTTTTTACATTACTCTTTCAAAGAAATAAAAATGTTATAATGTAGTCTATCATTTTATTTTCATTTGATTGTCTATCTATTTGATGTCAAATCAATCAATTAAAAATCATAAAACAGACGGATGATTAAACAAAAATAAGGTGATAAACCACATTATAATATTTTTATTTCTTTAAGGGATAATATAAGAAAATTAATTATTTAGAGGACAAATTAAAGTTTTTTGTATATTTTAAGGGCAAAATGGGATTTACTCTGCAACAAATAATAATATTGTAGCAAAATAGTACTGCCAAAAAAGCTCTCGAAAGACCACCAAATTGGTTCTTCAAGACTGTTGTCACCCACTCTTGCCCTCTTATATTGCTCCCTCTCTCTCTATCTCTCTCTCTCTCTCACACCCACAGTTTTTTAATTGCAAATTCCAACACCAGCAGTTGCACTATTAACAGCATTTGGAAGTGGAAAGAGAGGCTTTCCCCTCCCACTCTCTCTCTCTCTCTCTCTCTCTCTCTCTATTGCAAAAGTCTGAACTTGGTTTCATTTTCTGGGTTGGTTTTCTTTGAACCTGTCCCCTGCTGCTCTGGGGTTTCTCAAGTTCACTTTGTAGTTCACATAAATATATGCCCGCAATGGCTCTCTGTGCATTTGCATTCCCCGGGCAGTTAAACAGGGCTGTTGCTTCAGATCTCCAAAAGCAGAATTCTTTTTATTCCCATTTGTTATGGGGCACATATCTTCAGTGTCAATCTCAGCATAAGCTCAATCAGGTTTGAAATTCCTTTGTTTTTCAGATATAACCAAGCAGAACAAACTCATTCCAAGTATACCCAGTTACCCATGTTCTTGCACTTGTGCTAATGACTGGGTTTTTGTTTAGTTTTGTCCTTTTGTTATCTAAGTTTAGTAATGGTATTGTTACTTGTATAAATAGGATTATCTGTGTCTTCAAGAATCCATGTGATATTTTATCTGCATTTATGTCTATTCTATAGGTTGGTTGTGATTTGAAAATGTATTTATCCTCAAACTATCAGTTTAATTTAAAAGAAATGATTGTTTTTGTTCTGATTCAATTGACAGGTCAGGAAAAGGTCAGGAGGTGTTTGGGCATCCTTGTCAGAGAGAGGAGAGTATCACTCTCAGAGACCTCCCACACCTCTTTTGGATACTATCAACTATCCAATTCATATGAAAAATCTTTCCACTAAGGTACATAGCTATCTTTAGCATATGTAACAAGGGTGCACACACACATGCACACGTGTGCGCATATATATGTAAATAAAAAATCTTACGAGAGGCTTGAAGGTCGAAAAAAGAGTCATTTTGTTCATTTGTCATAAAAAAGGAAAAAAAGTAACAAATGATTCATCCACAGGTTGATATCTAATCAAAGCTAGTGATAAGGGATTCCACAAAAAATGATAAGAAAGATAAATCCCACAAAATCCCTCAATATACGGATGATAGGACAGGGCTGAGGCAGTAATCTCGACAGGGATTAGGATGAGCTTTGATGAATAAAACTAGAACTGGTAGAACTTCTTATAGGTGATATATGTGCATATTATTGTTAATGGTAGATTGTAATCTTTGGTGCAGGAACTGAAACAACTTGCAGATGAGCTACGGTCTGATGTCATCTTTAATGTTTCTAAAACTGGGGGTCACCTTGGTTCAAGCTTGGGTGTTGTTGAGCTTACTGTGGCTCTTCACTATGTTTTCAATGCTCCTCAAGATAGAATACTTTGGGACGTTGGTCATCAGGTGACAATTTTGCCTTATGCTTTCCTTTACTTAGTTAACTAGCAAAAATAGAAAATACTCTCAGCAGAATTGCCCTTCAAGCTTAATTTGGTTGTATCTGCTCATATTCTGCAGTCTTACCCACACAAAATCTTGACTGGGAGAAGAGACAAGATGCACACAATAAGACAGACCAATGGGTTAGCGGGTTTCACCAAGCGCTCAGAGAGTGAGTATGATTGTTTTGGGACTGGTCACAGTTCTACCACCATCTCAGCAGGCTTGGGTAATCCTCTGCTCTACTCCAACTGAGTACTGTGACGGAAAATAGAACCACAATTCTAATTTCTGAGTTGGAATAGTTTTTAGTATAGCTACAAGGTACTCCTTGTACGATTGTATTTTAGCTGTTGGAAGGTATATATTCCAGAGTTTTCCACTACCATTGGTTTGTGGATCAAAAGATTTGATACTTTGTTGTCTTGTTGATAATGAATTTTTTGATTTCCCCAAGATAAAGAAAAGCAATTTTGAGAATTCTCTTGTTAAGAGGCTATGAATTGATTAGAACCTCGGATTCATACTGGAAACGTGACGATGATACGATAAAATAAGCCAATGAATTCATTGAGTAAGAACCATGGATCATCCTGCGCCATGTACACCCTTCAATAGTATAGCACACCATCATATTCATCCTATTCATGTTCAATTTTTCTTATCTTCTGTTACTGATCCAAATTTAGAGCCCCTGTTTGATAAAAATTGCTCTTTGTTGATCTTTGGGATCTTTTCAATGGACAGGGATGGCTGTTGGAAGAGATTTAAAAGGAAGAAAGAATAAAGTAGTCGCAGTTATAGGTGATGGTGCCATGACAGCAGGTCAGGCTTATGAAGCCATGAACAATGCTGGTTACCTAGACTCCGACATGATTGTTATTCTGAATGACAACAAACAGGTCTCTTTACCCACTGCTACTTTGGATGGTCCCGTACCACCTGTAGGAGCTTTGAGCAGTGCTCTAAGTAGGTTGCAGTCAAACAGACCTCTCAGGGAATTAAGAGAAGTTGCCAAGGTTTGTAATAATTCACCGAGTAAAAATAAACAAAAAACAATATCTGTATTCTAGACTTTTGAAACTGAAGCCTTTTATGTTGTGATTGAAATTGTTTCAGGGAGTTACCAAGCAGATTGGCGGGCCTATGCATGAACTTGCAGCGAAAGTTGATGAATATGCTCGTGGGTTGATCAGCGGTTCTGGATCAACACTGTTCGAAGAGCTTGGACTCTATTATATAGGTCCTGTCGATGGTCATAGCATAGACGATCTTGTGGCCATTCTCAAAGAAGTTAAGAGTACTAAATCAACTGGTCCCGTGCTGATCCATGTTGTCACAGAGAAAGGTAGAGGATACCCGTATGCTGAGAAAGCTGCAGACAAGTATCATGGTATATACATCGGTTGCAAATTTATGACGTAGAGTTGAGAATTCTTCAGATTGATATATAGCAATTCATCAATCATCATCTGTTTATTCCAATTATGAAATAGATCATTGAGTCTCGTTGTATCTTATTTGATAGCTACAAAGTGGAACTTTAAACTGTACCTGTGTTATATTTTTGCAGGAGTGGCCAAGTTTGATCCGGCAACTGGAAAGCAACTCAAAGTTAGTGCTAAAACACAGTCTTACACAACGTACTTTGCAGAAGCTTTGATTGCAGAAGCAGAGGTGGACAAAAACATTGTTGCAATCCATGCAGCAATGGGAGGTGGAACGGGCTTGAATCTTTTCCTTCGCCGCTTCCCTGCACGGTGCTTTGATGTGGGGATAGCAGAGCAGCATGCTGTAACTTTTGCTGCAGGATTAGCCTGTGAAGGCCTTAAACCTTTTTGTGCAATCTACTCATCTTTCTTGCAAAGGGCTTATGACCAGGCAAGGCAATACCTCCACTTTTCTTCTCTGGCAATAGTATTTGATGAAGCTTAGATAATTGCTGAATACAAACCATTGAACAAATGGTCTTGCTTCATGGTACAGGTGGTGCATGATGTAGACTTGCAGAAGCTGCCCGTGAGGTTTGCAATGGACAGAGCTGGGCTGGTTGGAGCTGATGGTCCGACACATTGTGGTGCTTTTGATGTCACTTACATGGCATGCCTCCCAAACATGGTGGTGATGGCTCCTTCGGATGAGGCTGAGCTTTTTAACATGGTTGCAACCGCTGCTGCCATAGATGACAGACCAAGCTGTTTTCGATACCCAAGAGGAAATGGGGTTGGTGCAGAGCTGCCACCAGGGAACAAAGGCATTCCTCTTGAGGTATGGTTCAAACAAAATCAAAGAAAATGAAGAAATATGAAGAAAACGAAAATTGACATATGCTTGAACATTTTTGCAACAGGTTGGAAAAGGCCGGATATTGATTGAAGGGGAGAGAATAGCACTTTTGGGCTATGGAACAGCAGTACAGAGCTGTTTGGCTGCAGCTGCTTTAGTAGAACCCCATGGATTGCGGTTAACAGTTGCAGATGCACGTTTCTGCAAACCGTTGGATTATGCTCTTATTCGCAGCCTGGCAAAAACGCATGATGTTTTGATCACAGTAGAAGAAGGATCAATCGGAGGGTTTGGGTCTCATGTTGCTCAGTTCATAGCTCTAGATGGGCTTCTTGATGGAAAGGTGAAGGTATGTATCTGATACACAGTTATCATAAACTGGAGAGAGCTTACCCTTCTCTAGGACAACCCTGATGTAACCCATTGGCCGTCTATACGCCATCTTAGCCCTCTCCTTGACCTCCTGATTCTACCAATCCACCCTCTCTCCCGGATCTTTTAATCAGCCATATCTGTCTCACTACTAATGCTGGAGTTTCTGAACCATATGTTAACCACCAATAATTCAATAGCCAAATCAATTCCACAAAAGGTAACTAAAACTTTCAATTACATCTCAAAACCAAAGTACCAATCTATCAACTAACTGATAAAAACAATATTCCCAAAACATTGTCCATCCTCGATCCTCTCAAAACATGAAAATTTCAATATTCAAAACATTTCGGGGTTGTAACACAACGAACCTTTTATCCTTGGTTTAAAGATGCTTGAATCTAGAACAGCGCATCTACAAAAAAAAAAAAACTGCTTGAAATTGGTAAATGCCAAAGTGCATAGTGTTGGAATTCTGCAAATATTGTAGACCTTTCTATGAAGTGTATACCAACAGACAGAAGAGACATCCTATATGTTTTGTTTTTATCCAATGTATTTGAGTATTTATTGTTTTTTTGTCAAGAGAAAGCTTGCATTGGACTCTGCTATAGAGCACTCACTTTGTGTCCTTGAAACTTACTGCAGTGGAGATCACTGGTTCTTCCTGATCGGTACATTGACCATGGATCCCCTGCTGACCAACTGGCCCAAGCTGGTCTCACACCATCTCATATTGCAGCAACAGTATTCAATATACTTGGGCAAACAAGAGAGGCTCTGGAGATCATGTCATAGAGTAGATGTAAGGGCTTTTGTTCCTCTCTTTATGTACAAATCGAATATTTGTGAAAATCTATTCTTCGCATTCCTAAATATCATTATGTAAAATGTAGTGTTAGCACAGAAAAATCATTATATAAAATCCAGAGGGTAGGCTTTGGCGCAATGGTAAGGTTGCTCCATTATAATTTGCAGGTCATGGGTTTGAGTTGCAGAAACAACCTCTTTACTTTTAGGAGTAATGTTGTGTACATCTAACCCTCTTCAGACTCCGCAATGATGAGAGTCTTGTGAATTGGGTGAGCTCTTCAATGCTAACACAAAGATCAGAACTTGATGTTGCTTCCATGTAATGTGATTTATTTGTCAATGCAAATATTTCGCAAATATTCAAGATAAATGTCGTCTCAATCTCTCAATTTCAAACTAAAGCACTAACAGTTCACATGATATATTTAACATGATAAATTTAACAATAGAGTACCTCTCGGAGGCATTTCAACAAACAGTTCAAGTACACTAACTGAAACACCCAAAGTGATCCAATCCAAGAAAATGGATGGGGAATCTGGCGATACCCTATTCATACCATTAGTGTCAAGGATATTGAAGTTTTCTTAGATAATGCTCACAGATTGAACTATATTTTTGTTATGCTACTGGCGGGGTCGTTGGTGGGTCTCCATGGTGGTGGTCGTTGTTCAGGCTAGTAGATAAGAGAGTGAAGAGGGAAAGATAGAGTGGTGAGAGAAAGATAAGATAGAGATTGGGGAAGA